ACCCATCTCTGGGAAACATCCACACACACTCATACACTACGGACAATTTAGCCTACCCAGTTCACCTGTACCACGTCTTTTGGACTGTGGGGGGAAACCGGAGCACCCGGAGGAAACCCACGCGAATGCAGGGAGAACATGCAAACTCCACACAGAAACGCCAACTGAGCCGAGGCTCGAACCAACGACCCAGCGACCTTCTTGCTGTGAGGCGTCAGCACTACCTACTGCACCACTCCCTCGCCCTTTTTAACCATTCTTCTGGAGAAAAATCAACATGCAGTTAAATAATCAGATAATATTTATGATTTTTCATTAACGCACTCACATAAATAAGCTAACAGTGTTTTGGGAGTTAACCGTGTTTTCATTACAGTTTTGGAGCGTCAAGCAATGTCAAAATGAGCTTTATTAATAATTCAATTAAATTCAATTCCCCTTTACTTGTATAACGCTTTTACAATGTGGATTGTGTCAAAGCAGCTTCACATAAAAGGTCATAGTGAATTGGAACAGTGTAGTTCAGTTTTGAGTGTTTAAGTTAACCAGTAAGTCCAGACTATCACACAAAACTTTGACTAAGCAAAATATCTATGGACACTCCAACAGTCATAATGAAATATCAAATTAACATGCAAACTACTTGTGCATGTTTAATGGCCCGTTTCCACTGAGTGGTACGGTACGGTTCGGTTTGGTACGCTTTTATGGCCGTTTCCACTGTCAAAAGGCGTACCGAACCAAACCATACCACCTTTTCGGGACCCTTTCAAAAGGGTCCCAAAATTTTGTTACCAAAATTGTAGTTGGTAACATACCGGAGACAGTAAGGGTCTGTATGTGTTCATATATGTTCATTTATTTATTTTATTTTATATAATTACAGACGTTACAGTAGGCTATTTTGCACTGTCATTGATCTGCAGTTATAATCAACTCCTGTTTATAGAAAAGTCAGTAATAAACATTTATACACAAGTATTTATGTGTGTAAAGCATCTGTTTTGGGAGAAGTGCTTTTAGTATGATATGTGAACGACCTGTGCAGCTTTACTGTAGACATTTCCTCGAGCGAGAATGATGCGACTGAAACTTTCTGTCTTACACCACGCCCACCAAAAGGGTACTTTTTATAGAGGAAACGCAAGCCTGATAAAGGTGACCCGTACCAACCCGAACCGTACCGTACTGTACCAGTCAGTGGAAACAAGCCATAACTTTAGCGCTCTTTTAAAAGGTGGCTGTATTTTACTAGTGATCAGTGGATGTGATTTTGACCACACCAAACTTGAAAGCTGCGTCCAAAATCGGATACTTCCATACTATATGATATGCTGAAAACAGTATGCGAGCCGAGTAGTATGCCCGAATTCATAGAATTCGAAAATCAGTATGCAAGAAGTACCCGGATGACCTACTACCTCCGGCGAGATTCTGAAGTGCGCATCGGATGGACACTGAGCTATCCCATAATGCACCACGAGAGAATTCATGAATGAGAAGAAAGCGACACAACTGACGTGGGTGGGTCACATGATGACAAAACAGCGGATGTAGCACGTCTGAGTTCCATTCATACTACTAACATTCATACTGTATAGAACGTACTTCTAACGGCCGCGTAGTACATTTAAATTGAAATGTTGTACCTACTTAGTAGGCGATTTCAAACGCAGATAAACTTTTTTTAACACAAGCCTGAATTTAATGATTTGCATGAATGGAAGTGAATGAAAAAGTGTAAAGTGTAGTGTGACCAGCCCTTAGTAATCATTTCAGATTGGTATCTAAAGCCAAGCGTACTTAACATTTTCAGAAACTCAAGCACCTCAAAATTACGAGATGCCAAGGCAAAACTTTCTAATTTATTCACATGTCACATGTAGTTTGTGTAAAATGTAGCACATTCATTTGTATTCGCAAAAGTCTTTTAAATCACTAATTTGGAAGCACCGCAATTAAAGTGTCATTCAAACTAGGGCTGCACGATATTGGCATTTTGATAAATTTTGACGTGGCGATATTTTTTCCCTGCAATATAAAAACTATTTCACCACATGACCTAAATAGCCCTATTCGGAAAGACATTATATTAAACTGAATGGGATCATTTGTATGGGAGAGAGAGACAAATATATGCAATTTATTATATACATACAGTAGAGCTGCACAATTAATTGTAAAAAGATCGCGATCTTGATTCGACCCCCTAGACCAGGGGTGTCAAACTCAATTCCTGGAGGGCCGAAGCCCTGCACAGTTTAGTTCCAACCCTGCTCCAACACACTTACCTGTAGGTTTCAAACAATCCTGAAGGACTCAATTAGTTTGATCAGGTGTGTTTGATTAGGGTTGGAACTAAACTGTACAGAGCTGCGGCCCTTTTGGAACTGAGTTTGACACCTGTGCCCTAGACGATCTTAATCCAGCGTTTCTACGATTCTGCCAATCATATTTTCAAGTTCAGGAGAGAATTAAAGGCGGCTGCACGAGTCTTTTCATTGTTTCACACACGTTGCTCGTTGACATTGAAACCTCCAAATGATGTTGAAAGAGTCACATTCTGTATTTATAAGGTATAATTCACCTAAAAATGTCATTTTTGTCTTCATATAATGATGTTTTCGCAGCTGGGAAATCACACGTGACGTGAGCTGCTGACCGTGAGCTGTTATCACAGAGGATGCGCGTGCGCGCTCTACTTAATGATAAACGCGCACGTCTACTTTAGTGAACAGAACCTGCATATGCTATGAGTAACAGGTAATAAAGTTGTAAATAATATTTAGTTTGTGGCACAGAGTGATCGTTTGGGAGCTGCGCGCAAAGTATGAACAAGCACTTAGCAGTCAAAATGAAACCGAAAGTGTTCACATCATTTAAATGATCATATCACATTTTAGAGTTATGATTACGACAAGCATTTGTTATGTTTTTTCTTTCATAGCGATCAGAGTTGTGCATGAAAATAATGTTTACAGTGTCAGTATAACTACTCTAGCCTATATATTGTTGAATATAATCTGATAATGACAAATGTCTGATTTTACCAGTGAAAAAATTGTCTAGTAATGTTGCCAATGACAGATTGCAAGCATATATCTCAAACATAATAATTCAACATCAGAATTATTATAAGTAAAATAGAATTATTCATTTAAAAAAAAAACAGTAGACCTACACAAAATATTATTATCGATGTTGTGCCATGTGTTTGTTTTTACCATACCTTTATTTTACATCTACAGAATCGTAAGAAAATCGTGATCTTTATTTTAAGCAAAAAAAAAAGTCATGTTTTTATAAAAATAAAAAATTGCGATTCTCATTTTAGCCAGAATCGTGCAGCTCTAACATAAAATAAACAAACTACAGTCATAAATAAACACAATGGAGCAAATGTTAAAGTGAAATAAACTGATTTCTGGGGAGTGTCTAACAGTATTCCAGGCTGAAAATATAGTAATCAAATGTAGAAGTGCAATGCATAGTCTTCATCATATAGGTAAATCAATACAATTTTTTTTAAAACTTTTTTATCCTCTATATGTTCTCTTAAAATGCTTTAAACTATTAAAATGTTCACATAGACCTTAAAACACATGGCTATTTTAAATGTTCACTCTGTAACAGTTCAATTCTGTAGTGCCTCCACAAATCTCATGTGTTTTGGCCTATTGAGGTAAAGTTGGTTTTATATTCGCACATTCAGACTTTCTCCTTAATAACATAATTTAAGAAAAGTATTATTTGCAAAAATCTAAACAGTAAAATCATATTAGCAGCCAATGACTATCAAATTACACCATGGTTCACAGTTAATTATATAGTGCTAATGTGGTTTTGAAGTCATTTAAATGTGATTTCAGACCCAATATTTAAATTAGCGTGCTTAACAGTATAAGGACTGTCAACTGAATGAATGTGCGAATATAAAACCAACTTTAGCTCAATTTTTGGCCTGTGGATTCTCATCATCTATATTCATAACTCAACTTTCCATATCCTGCCATGTGCCTATTGCGGACACACCCACATTGCAATATCGAAGCTCAAACAATATGTAGTGCAGCCCTAATTCAAACTGATTATTACTTAACAGAAATATATTGGTGTGTTTGAAAACCAAAGGATTTACATGTAGAAAATGTGTAAATAAAACATTTCCTTCATATGTGATGCTGGGCCAGAAAACTTGTGTCTCGTGTCAAGTCTTGTGAAGTTGCACAGGTACAGTTTGAGCAACAGAAACAATAAATTTTATGTGTCAACATTTTTTATTTTTCTATTATGCTAAAAATTATTAAAATATTAGGTAAAGATCATGTTCAATCAAGATATTTTGTACATATCCTACAGTAAACAAAATCGTTTTAGTTTGTTATATGTTTTGCTAAGAACTTAATTTGCACAACGTTAAGGGTGATTATTCTAAATATTTAGTTTTTTATCTTCAGATTGCAGATATTCAAATAGTTGAATCTCTGATAAATATTATCCCATCATAACAAACCAAGCATCATAGGAAAGCTTATTTATTCAGCTTACTGAAAACTCGATTTCAAAACGATGAAAATTATGGCATAATTACAATAAAAGGTTATATTCAACGAAGTTATATGGACACTTGAAGCCTTTAGATACAGTAAACACAAGTGCAAAGTCTGCAATTATTGAAGCAGGCCCGCTATGTAGTTTTATGGAATAAATGTTAATGCGGCTTGCCATATGGTATGCAATAAACAGCTTGACTTAAAGCTAGTAACATGAACAAACGCAACGTATTGTCAACGGAAATACCATTGTAAAAAAATGCTATATGTCATATACTAAGATCTGGTCAAATAAATTAGACGAATAAAATGTAATATAGCGCTAGTTAAAGGCCTCTGCAGCTCAGCGGCTAATCTTCCCATCATGACCGAACACAAGCGCAGCTCCGCGGCTTCAGCAAAACAGACTGCAGCAAAACACCGTTTCAGCAAATACAACACCTTTACCTGTCCTTGGCGGGTCTGTTACTGTCAGAATGAAGAGGAGAAGCACAAAACCACCGCTGTCAGCCTTCGGCAACATTTATCCTCCATTCATGGTATCTTACACCGGAGAAAATGTGCGAGAGAAAATGCACCGATTAATCACAATCAACACCCATTCGGTTTATTCCGTCGAATATAAAGGAGGTTCGGTGCTCGGGTTTCTTTATTTCACGCGTCTACGTTTGGGAAATAGTGTTATAATCCATAGCTGTTTCCTCTGGCTCGGTAAACGGGCTTAGGACGGATATAAAACAAGATGGCTCCGCCACCGTCCCATCAAAACAATCCCAACCATGTTCTCCAGCCCACAGCCGGAGGAGGAGGCGCTACTTCCGCTTCTCATAATAACACACGTGACATTTCCTTCACAGCTTCCAGGGAATATCGCCAACATGACACATTTGACAACCAGAAGGAAAGTTACATCTGATAGCATTAAAATATTGAGTTACTCCTCAAAAAAGTAACTAGTTGCGTTACTTAGTTACTTTTTATAGTAATTCCCTGCTGAAAAAAACAGCTTAAACCAGCCTAGGCTGGTTGGCTGGTTTTAGATGGGTTTTGGCCATTTCCAGACTGGTTTCCAGCCATTTCCAGCCTGGTCTTAGCTGGTCAGGCTGGGAGATGACTAGCTAAAACCAGCTTGACCAGCTTAGCCAGGCTGGGAGCCCAGCCAAAACCAGCTATGTCCAGCTTAAACCAGGCAGGTCAAGCTGGTTTTAGCTGGATTTAGCTGGTCATTTTCCAGCCTGACCAGCTAAGACCAGGCTGGAAATGGCCAAAAACCCCTCTAAAACCAGGCTGGTCAACCAGCTAAAACCAGCCAACCAGCCTAGGCTGGTTTAAGCTGGATTTTTTAGCAGGGAAGTAATGCGTTACGTTACCTTTTGAGTTACCTTTGCGTTGCATTTTGCATCGCTTCCAGAATTTGTAGGGGTTTTTTTTCTTTACCAGAGGAGCTCTGTAATTAACAAATTAACAACACTGTATGACCTTCATTTACCTTTAAAAAGCACTTTAATAAAAAATAATAATAATATAGAATAATTCCATCTAGTGAGAACTTCCTGAGGCAAGCACCATATAGCAGTACAGATTAATGAACGTTTCAAGCAGAGATGCCCAAACTAGGGCCCATGGTAACGTGATTTGGCCCACAGTTGGTTGTTGCTAGATCTTATATCGTTGCGGTCAGAAATTAATTCAAATGATTTATATTATTTATAAAAAAAAATTATTAATTGTCTTTTATTAACATCTACCCCAACCCTAAACCCAGCCATCACAGTAAGGTAAAAACTCTAGTAGCACAGAGCATTATTTAAGTTATCTAATAAATTACCCATTAAATTTTTTTTTAACGTCTACCCCGACCCCTAAACACAACCATCACAGAACTGTAAAAATATTAATTATCGTTATACAGTGTCATACAAAATGCTGCTATATAGGTGTGCAATATAGGGGAACACCTCCCAAAAGACATTATAATTTGAATGGCATCTGCTCTTATGTTAGTTTGTTTTTGTTATTCCCAAGGTTTCCATAATCCTGGACCAGGCCGTATCATGAGCAGCTGCTGTGGTGGTCATGGAGGAGTGGAGACAATGAGATTAAGACCCCAGTGACAGGAAATTATCCATGGCAACTTTCATAAAATATAGTTTGCTATATTTACCTTCAGCCCACAACCCTCAATTAAGTTTGCTTTTTGGCCCTTCATAAGAATATGTTCTCATGAATATGAGGCATCTCAATTTAAAGCAATGTGTTTGGTACTTTTGTAATTTTTAATAGTAAAGTTAAATCACTATCCATTGAGACAATCCCCTTTAGCATTCTGTCATCGAGTGCAGGATTCAGCGGTCCATTTTAATTCATTAACTGTCCATGATTAATACATTAATTTTTTGAAATGTAATAAACTAAACTAAAAAGTAACTACTCAAATTTATAAAAGTAATATTATTATTTGTAATGTTATTAACCTGTAATGCGTTTCCTCCAACTCTGCTGACAACTGACAAGAAAAACTTCACACAGAAATGCCATCTAGCCCACCAGGGACTCGAACCAGCAACCTTCTTGCTGTGAGGTGCACAGTGCTAACCACAAAGCCCAAAAATAAGTTTATGCAAACAAAAATAAATGCATACAGATGCACACTATTAGCAACCTCAATGCACTCAAAAGATCTGTTTTAAAAGTTTACTAGCTGATCAACTTCCCTATGGAGAAAATGAATTACATTACAATCTCAGAATACACAATACGGACTGTGAAAGGACACAGAGACGCAGAAATGCGTGTACATTTTCTTTTAATTGTGCCCCTGAGACCTTACAAGATCAATATTCAGGAGCACTGAATCATCCTTGTTCAACATGAATCAAGAATCAAAGTTCAAGTGAATCAAATGATTCACCCTATTGAATCACTCGATGTGGATGACAAATGAAACTATCAAACGTGTGTATGCTAGCTAAAACAAACATATAAAACAAAATAAAGTAAAGAAAACACTTTAAAAAAGGTTGTAGTCGTTAATGTGTTTACTAACATCAACACGTAATGAACAATGCATTTATTACATTATTTAATCATGCTAAGTCAAGTTGTTCATGTTAATTTACAGTGACTAACGTTAACAAGCATTTAAATTATGCATTAGTAAATGTTGAACTATGATTAATAAATGCTGTATTTTTCATGTTAGTAAATACATTAACTAATGAAACCTTATTGTAAAGTCTGACCCCAAAAACCTGCAGGTTTTAAAATCGTCACACTTTACAGTAAGGTTTCATTAGTTTTGTATTTACTAACATGAACTAATTACGAACGATACTTGTACAGCATTTATTAATCATCGCTCGGCATTTACCAACGCATTAATGTTAACATTAGTTATTGTAGGTTAACATGAACTAACAACTGAATACAAATACTGTAATAATTGTCTTGCTGTTCATGTTAGAAAATGCAGTAACTAATACAACCTTATTGTAAAGTGTTACTGACAAAACTCCTGTCTGAAACGATCATTATTCAATCGTTTTCACATTTTTTAAAATAAACGTAATTAAAAAAATGATAATAAATACAGTGCACAGGCCACGTTCCAGTGTGTTTTCAGAAGTAATCCTGGGCTTTCCTCCGCTTGGGCAGCTGCAGCAGGTTGTCTGTGATGGAGGCCGGGTCTTGGCTGGCCGGTGTGCGTGTTTTTGTGGGTGTGGGTGTGAGAGTCGTCAGGCCTCCAGATGGAGTTTTGGCGCCGAGGCTTCTGTGCGCAGGAGACGGCGTGTAGCTCGCCCGCAGCGCTTTATCTGTGTATTTGCTGGACGATCTGTTTACCAGACGCTGGAGAGCAGGAGACAGGGCTGCGGGGCTCAATCCTTTCGGTGTGAGGCTGGAGAACAGCACAACATATACAGTATTCAGTCAGAATTACTAGCTTTCCTGTATATATTTTCCCCAATTTTCTGTTTAATAGAGAGATGAGCACATTTGTAAACATAATAGTTTTAATAACTCATTTTTAATAACTGATTTCTTATCTTTGCCATGATGACAGCACATAATATTTGACTAGATATTTTTCAAGACACTAGTATACAGCTTAAAGTGACATTTAAATGCTTAACTAGTCTAATTAGGCAAGTTAGGGTAATTAGGCAAGTCATTGTAAAACAATGGTAACTAATACAATCTTATTGTAAAGTGTTACCAAAATACATCTCCAATATCTGTAACGGCTGGTACATCATGACGTCTTTGAGCTTTCAGCATTAATTCATGAGAAAGACTTGGTTCGAACCAATCAGCAGGCTCTGTTGTGAATGAGGTGCAACTTCGTTAATATGCATGATCGCTTCGAAGACTGTTCTTACCAGTGTTCAGACGGCAGAGAGACGCCACGTTGTGTTGCCAACAATAATCAAAACAAGTGAAAGCAGCAGAATTGTTTGGAGGCACGGGTCAACAGTGTTATATTTATAAATGTGCAGCAACGAATGTTTTGTTTTCATTTCCCCGCTATGAGAGCGCAGCTGGACTCGCGTGTGGATTAAAGTGCTCTGCTAACACGTGACAGAAATATGTTCGTGAGAAACATTTTTTACCTGAGAGCTTTCCGCATCTGAAAATGGTGACATCCGGATTTGCCGTTGGTATTCTTTAAAAAAAAAAAAAAAAAAACGCGGTTCTAGTTGGTGTTGATTGTCCTGTCTCTACAGATTTGGTAAGTGTGTGACCAGTGTTCTTTGTTTATGCATATTCAGAGGTAAAGTTAGTTCGTATCGTCAGCAGAACTCTCAGTTTTTAAAGACAGACCTTAGTCAAAATGATTTAGTTACTAAGTTTACAGTACGTTAATGTCACTACAGTATTATAGACTGAAAGATCCGCTGTAAATGCTGCTCTCTGAATGTAAACACCTCTATCAAACTATTACCGTCATGTAGAACTTTCACCACATTTTGTGACAGGATAGTCTATACACACACGGCTTTCTGACGCTACCAACTCAGTGCATCTAAGTTACCGAGAAATGCAGAGTTCTTTATTTCTCCCATTCGCCGTGCGGTATCAAACATTGCATCAAAACTTCACTCTTCCAGCAGTTCCTTGCATGCAATATCTGGTTTGTCACGGGGGGCATGCAGGAAATGTTCCTGAATGAAAGTGAGAGTCAAACTGCAGTTAAACTCCACAAATGAATAATTTGATTACTGATGTTCATGTAAACAGTTACCGTCTTTCTCCCCTGCGCCTGTGTTTGTTTTGCCTCGGTGAAAATCAGCGCATGCTCAAACTGAAACTCCCATTTTTATGCAGCTTTCCTTTTTCCCTCCCCTGACACTCCCACCTAAACAAAGCTAGACACGCCCACTTTCCTGACTTTTTTTTCCAACTAGAGGTGTGAAAACACCCTGCAGAGACAGGGGGTTTCGTGGCTCTTTAAACTGAGGTCCCGTTTACACTAGTGCGTTTTAGTTTGAAAAAGTCGTTAAAAGACCTAGCGTTTCTGAACATATCTCCGTCCACACTACGCCACCAAAAACAAAAATCACGTGACCATTCGCACACTCCGGGCATGCACGTTCTAGCGAATATATGCCGCTGCTGTAGTAAAAAAGGCAGAAGCTGCGTCCCAAATCGCATAATTGTGCACTATTCTACGCCATTTTGTAGTATAGTGTAAGTAGTGTGTTCACATTGAAAACTCTAATAATAATAAGTGAACTTTAATTACCCGGATGATGCAC